CACTTTGGGGAGATAAAGCTCTGCCTGCTCCCTGGGTGTGTTCAGAGCTCCGCGATGCCACGAAGTGACCATCCAGATGCACTGGTGGGGTGGCGTGTACAGGGTATGCTGGCATAGGAGCTCTGATGTGCTGAAGGAGAAGTCCAGGCCGAAACAGTGATGGAGCTCCAACCCCTGCAGTGCCTGACAGACCTGAGCCTCAGCAGGGATGCTGCAGGAAGAGAGACAGCAGCCAGCAGCACCTCTGTCCAGTCAGGAAGCCGACTGGGAGGAAAGCAGTTGTCATGTTCTGTGTCAGGACACAGGCTTGGACTAGAAAGGTGGAGAAGATGTAAACAGGCCAGGCAGGAAGAACAGGGTTCTGGAAGAGGCCTTACGCTGCATATGATCCATAATCTCTAAATGACTGAGTTTAAGCAACAAATTTCAGTCCATAGGAAACTAAAATGTCACACGGGTCAAACAGGGAACAGAAAGGCCACAGTGCCTAAGGGACTAGCAGTGACCACAGAGGTGACACTTGGGACTGGATTCAAGCCTTTCTGTTTCTCTGTATGTGAGAACCACAAGGCATTCAAGTACAGAACATCACTCCATGTGGCTCTTGCATGTGCCGCATGGTTAGATGGCAGTACTCCAGACAGCTAAGGCAGCAACGAGAGTATTCTGGTTCAGGACTCAGCTTTTGTCTCTGCTAGTTTGAGAGATGGCTTCTGGTTTCTGAGTTACTATTGAGAAATATTGTTCAGCTGAATCATTGATATTTGGCCTATTTGGTTTCATTTGGTATGATTGTTTTTACTATTACATTAGATAGAGCATTCTGTATTTCACTTCCTTGTTCTCACACACACACCCCCAGGGGAGAACTGAGCTGAATGTGAGGTCTCTTCTTGCTTACTGTTTGACCACAGACTGATCTCCTAGGCAAATGAGAGTAAAAAAAAAAGGCTTGAAATAAACTTTTCTTCGTAGTATTATAGATAAGCAGAATCTAGACAATTGACCAGGTATCCAGAGCCACTGTTTTCTGTGACCAAGTTGCCGGCCACTACCAGGGCACAGCAAGGGCCAGCTACACCCTAAGGGGTGAGGAGTCAAGTCAAGCAAGGAGACAGCAATGAAGGAGCCTTGCTAGCCAGGGCCCATCCAGTGTGGCCAGAAGAGGAGAGCAAGGCAGACCCAGGGCTAGCAACCAGAATCAGCCGAAAGTCCAGATTTTCAGGTAGGTTCATGTCGATGAGGCAGACCCTGGGCAAGTCAATCCTCAGGTCAGAATCAGGTCCTGTGATAGCAACCAAGGTCACATACAGACACAGCGATCACAGGGCTGGTCCACAGAAATGAGGCAGGTCTGAGGTCAACCCAGAAAATCAGTTCACAGGTTAGGAAACAGATCAACAGTATCCATGGCTGGCTATGGGCATGGACATAGGCAAGGGTTTGACAGTGAAGGCAGGCAAACTCACACCATAGCTCATGGAGGTTCTAGTAGTGGAGACATGAGCTTAAATGTAGCTCCTGGACCATCTATGGACAGTGTGTCAGTGGAAGGCCCTAGTGAGGGTGGCCAAGGAAACTAAGGGGGTTTTAATGCTCTCTTGCTCTCTAATGCTAAGAGATAGACACCATAATAATTGCCTTCAGTTTTATTGTGAAAAAAATTTGGAGTTGTTACTTGCTTGTGACATAGGAATGTCACAGCCTTTCTTTGGCCAAGAGCTTGTTACAATGCAAACAGGGGCAGAGTGTGGCAAGCTAAATCCAACAGGACAATGTAAACAAGAACTAAACATAATGAGTCTTGGACCAATGAGCAACAGAACCATCGCCAAAGACACAAGGCAGGCATACTGTGATATCATTTGATTGTCAGCCTGTGCCAACAATTAGGTACAAAGACCTCCAGCAATAGATCTTGAGGGGGGACACTTGGTCCACTTCATAAATTGAGCTTAGTGGTTTCACATTGTGGCCTTCACGTTTTGTTTCTCTTCCACTCATTAGAACTTGTGTGATCAATTTTCTCCACCTCTTTAAGACCAGCTTGACAGCACCAGCTTCTGAACTTGTAAGATGTAAAGACCCATATCTAAGCAAGAGGGCAGACCTACCAAAGTGGACATTACTTAATTGAGGAGTGCTGCCATTTTGTGAGTTACAGGTTGTCATCTCTTGGTTTCCATAAACTAAATTCTCTTTAAGGTGCACTGGTCGAAAACTCTGAGTAGTTCTATCGACTCTGTTAAAAGATTAGCAATTCCAACAGGAGAAGAAGCAGGCCCAATCACAGCTTTACAGTTTGTTTACTATAGTGGGTGTAAGTCAATGAATATTTATCTGAGTCTTGCAAAAATAACTTAGCATCAGGAGTAGGGGATGGAGGGAGGTTCTGTTCCCAAGCACTTGGTATTGACAGCAGGACTCACACCTCTGCACAACACAGAGGAGCAAACAAGCCCTCCCAGCTTGACTGCTGCAAGCGATACAGCTGCATTCCTGAACTTCTTTGTGCAGCCTAACATGCCTTGCTTTTTGAGGAGTTCCCAGTGGATACACCTAGTGGTCCAGTTCCAGGATGGGCTTGTTGATAAAAATATTTTCTTACTTCTTTTACCCACCTGAGTGGAAATGCTGAAATGCGATGACCACGGACACTGTAATTATCATTCCACAGTCACACCACTTGGTGGATGGAGGATTTGCTTCTGTTGAATAGAACATCTGTGGATTTTTTAAGTTACTCTTTTAAGATCAACTGCTGCTGTCACTTTTGTGTTATAGCTCCCACTAAGCCAGTGGAAAGTTCTCTAGGCTAGCACAGCCTTCCAAATGCAGACAAGTATTTCACTGATTAATGATGAGATATTAGTATAACAATAACTGGTATTTACTGTGATTAACTGGTCAGTTTAAATCAGAAACAAATACTTATTTACATGGCAAGCTGTGAACTTCTAGAATCTGCTGCCCCAGTATACTGCAGACACAGATGGCAGGACAGGGTCAAAAGACATCTGAGAAATTTATGGTAACAAGTCCATAAACAGACACTAAAGGACAGATGCAGGGTTCCCAACCATAGTCATTGTGAGTATTAAAGTAGTGTGATTGGATCGTAATGAACCACAGTTACTGAAAAACACTCGAGGTCATAGCCAGCATGGGTTCATGAAGGGAAAATCCTCTTATCCACCTTAATTTCTTTTTATGACAAGGTCACCCATCTAGTTGACCAAGGGAAGCCAGTAGATGTGGTGGGTTTGGATTCTAGCAAAGCTTTTTTATATTGTCTCTCACGGTATCTTTCTGGATAAACCACCCAGCACACAGCTAAACAAGTCCATCATACACTGGGTGAGCAATTAGCTGATGGGTCAGGCTCAGAGGGTTGTAGTAAATGGGGTTACATCAGGCTCCTCAAGAACACCCGTGGGGTTCTCAAGGGCTCAATTTTAAGGCCAGTGCACTTTAATGGTTTTAAAAATTATGTGGATTAATTATCTACATTAAGTAAGTTTGCTGATGACACTACAGTAGGAGAAGCTGTGGACTCCCTCGAGAATAGAAAGGCCTTAGAGAGATCTGGATGGACTAGAGGGCTGGGCAATCACGTGAAACGTAGCAAAGAGCAAGTGCCAGGTCCTCCGCCTGGGCCAGGGTAATCCTGATGCTGATCTCCTCTCCCTGGTGTCCATCAACAGGACATGAGGAAATGGAATGAAGCTGCATCGGGGCAGTTCGGCTTGGAATTAGGAGAAAGTTCTTCAGTGTGAGAGTGGTTGGTCACTGGAGCAGACTCCCCAGGGAAGTGGTCATGGCAGCAAGCCTGTTAAAGACTTGAAGGAGCATCAGGATGACACTTTTAATCATATGGTTTAGTTTTCGGTAGTCCTGAGAGGAGTAGGGAGCTGGACTTGATGATCTTTATGGATTCCTTCCAACCTGAGATATTCTGTAATTCTATGATTCTATAAATGGAAGATCCTGAAATGAAAACAAAAATACATAATTTAGATCCTTTAACAACTGCACTTCAGACTTGCCGTGATTTGAAATGGATATAGCAGAAGCCTATACTGCAATAGCCCAGAATATTTCTTCTCCAGACATGCCATCTGAAATGGATTTCCTGGATGTTCAGTGACCTACTTAGCCATAGATTTCTTTCACTCCGTTTCACTAAATACGTTATTTGTTAGAAAACTCAAATGCATTGGAATCAAAATGCTACAGAACTTATATTAGTTTTGCTATATTTTTTGGTACGCAGTCCTTCCAGGCCAAGGATGTGTTGGATTCATTCAGACAGGGTCTGTTGTCTCCAGGGGCACAAACTTTCAGCACTGTTGGTGAACCCACTCTTTCTTCTCTGTACTGCCTTTCACGAGGTCTGGAACAAACCAAAAACAAAGGCTGGATATTCCCAGGGCACAGACATTCTCTTTTCAGCAACTTTTCCCATCTTGCAGAACCTGTATCCTTTGGACTTGTCAAGGAAGTTGCTGAAACAGATCTAGAAGGGACCTTAATGAAGAACGTAGGGGCCCAAGTGACTGGGAAGAGGTGTCAAATCACCACTGATACTGACAGAAAGTGGCTGAGCAGCATCATTTGGTGAACAGAAACCCATGCTCAGATCCAGATTAAAAAGAAATCTGGTGGAGGGTTTCTGGGTTGAGAACTGGAGTTTCAACTGATAAGGGATTTCCCACTCTGAAGTTTCAGCTGATAAGGGATTTCCCACTCTGGAGCCTGAAGGAGAAAAGATGCACTCTTAGCCTTTGCTTCATAATATAACGGAACAAAATCCACTGTGCTTCTCTCCCAGTGGGACAGGACAGTTCCTATGATTTTACTATATTATTTTTCCAAAAGCATGCTGCAGCACTCTTTAAACTCTGTCGAGATGTGAACTGCTTTCCTGCTCTTTACAGCTCAGTGACCCCAAACTGCACACTATTTCATGTGGTTCCTCCTATCCCTCAGACTCTACTAACCTCGAGGATGTACTGGAGCTTCCAACGATTGTTAGTTATCTCTGGTTCAAAACCCACAGTCCAGGAATCATCATCAACATCTCCTTGGATGAAGGTGTCCCAACAGTAAGTATAGTCTAGAGAAATGAAAGCAAGATGACTAACCCAAGTTTATTCAGATATCGGACAAGCTCAGGCAACAAGACTTTTTGACCTCTTCCTTGTGCCCATGACACAGAGACAGCTTGGCCATGGACAGGATGGATGCTGTCCACTTCATATTTGGAGCTAAGGCCGTTCTCTCTGGGCACCTTTTTACCCCTCTCTTATCAGCAGAAGGCCCCTTCAACCAGCCTTATCCCAGCAGCTGCATTTAGTCCCTCAGGACAAGGGAAAAGTGCCCTATCTCCCATTGCTTCAGGAGTGACAGAAAGATGATATCTCTAAACAAGGGAGAATTCTCATAAAGGTCTGGTTCCTAAAAGTCCTGCCCCCACTCTACAACATTTTAACATCTTTTTTTGGATGCAATAGTCACTGAATGGTGATGGATGTGCCCCCAGAGAAGCTGGGCAGGACACTATACACAGAAGCAAGCCCATACCAGATTCACCCATGCACAAAGTTCACCATTTCACCCCTTCCCAGTCCCACAAAGCATGGGAAACCTTGCCTTCAATGTCCATGACAGCAATGGTTACATCCACCAAGCTCACAAGGTTCTTCAGATTTTGGCGGATTTCATCATCATCTATGTAATAAAGCCGTGCTACATATATTTTTATGTTCACATATGAGTGCTGCTTTAAGAACTTCAGTATTTTACGGCAGCAGTTCACACAGGGGCTCCAGGACAAGTACCAGGTGATGGAACAGTTGACATAATTATTGGATCTTCTCATCTTAAAGATCTTCTCCAGGAAGTAGACTTCAGCATGGTAACGGTCATTTTTGACCCAGTGTATCCAAGGTGTGCCGGTCTCACCCCACTGCAGTTCGCATAGTAGATATGCATCCCGTGGAGCCTTACGGGGGTCAAAATGATGCTTTAATGCCTTCTTAGATATATACATGCTGAAACAGAAGAAAAGCTTCAAGGAATCACTCATTACAACTTTGTTTTCAATAGTTCTCCAGTACAGTAAAAAAGGGGGAGGGTGAAAGAAATGAGTGGAGAAATGAGAAGGGCAAAACACAAGAGAGCAATACAAAGACAATGGAGAGGTAGGCAGCGTGTCCCAGTAAGGGAATCAAACCCTGAACCACCTAATCCTTCCTTTGTCTGCAATTGCATGCAGAACTTTCACCTCCTCACCTCTCCCTATGGCTGTCCTCTTCCCCATTAGCATGGAGATTTCTAAAAGCTTTCCATGTCTTCATAAGTGTCAGATGTTTTTCCAGGGCTTCTATGTAGCCCTTTTTGTCCAAGGGAGCCACTGTGACTTCTGTAAAAACTAAAAACCAAAAAAATTAAAAAATACCAAAACCCCAAAAAAAGTAAGAAAATAAAACCACTGATAAATTGTGAAGCTGAGTATTCCTCCTTATTGGATTCTCCTGCTGTTTGTATTTTTGTAAGGAGTCAGCACAATCCTGTATTGGAGAAGGCAAAAGAAGGGGCCTATACAAAAAGATGCAGCTCCCAAGAATGACGTTTTCTGACACATAGTCCATCTCTGAGATCCTGAACTGATGCAGTTCAGAACAGACCTCTGCGTATTGCCATTTAACTATACGAAGATTGCCAGTGTTGATTGTGATTATATCCTTTATATCACTAATTATCCATGATACATAAATAATATTTGAAGTTGCCGTTAGCACTTTTGTAGCCTTTGAACAATTGGTTTATACAGAGACTTATATGAGAATGCACTTCAGATACATATATTCCACGTTAAGAGTAATTCAGAATAAATCTAGTAGACAACTGAACAGACACTTAACAGTGAAAAAACAAGGCTGTAGGTTGTTTCATAGATTAGCACCCATCAATAACAAAACCCAAAACAAAATAAAACCAAACAAACCACTATCTGAACTAAGGACAAATGAAATCTTGCAGATCGAGCAACTGTTACGTACTCTTTAGCTGCAGAACTCATCATCTATGTAAAAAACATTTCATTTGTCTGAGCCTGTCAGAAGGCTTTGTCTTCTTACCCTGCCTCCTTCCACATCCCCGCCTCCTACATATTAAAATACATATGTACATAAACCAGCTTATAAACCACTGGGTATCTGTTTACTTTCACCATGTAAACTCTGTTGTATATAAATCACAGAAACAATGTATGAAGATTTCTTTGTCAGATTTTCTATTGAATTTATGTAAATGTAGCAAATGTAAATGTCACCAAATGTTTCATAGGGAAATATTTTTTTTATTATTATTATACTTAATTCCTTCAGTCTGTTGGGGAGAGAGAGAGAGAAATGAAGAACAGGCTTAACTATATTTTTTTTATTTGTGGTGCTGAAATAGATGTAATTTTTCCATTTCTATTATGTTATTTTGAAGTTGGTGTCTATTAGCTTAAATTTCTTCAAAACTTGATGATTATGGAACATAGATATATAAAAAATAAGTATATAAAATGTACATAATAGGGTGTGTGTGCGCGCGTATACAAGAAATATAGTGACTGGTTGAAGTACGCCAAAGAAAATACATTGAACTTCCAATACTCAAGCCAAATCAGTTCATCTAATTCTTACAGAAGATTTTTTTTTTTTGAAAGCAGTGTTACAATAGATGACAGAGATCTGATTTGTTCAAAGGTATCTATAGTTGTTGCCATCTGATTATAGCACACAGACGAGTTAAAATTTCCAGGTCTTAATATGGTCTTAAGCATACTCTTGCCTGTATCTTGACCATAAAATGTTGCACTTTGGATAAGCTGTTGTGGGTGTCCTGTGCATATTTTCAGGGACATAAAGCCACTTCTTTAGAACAATCTTGCAATACACTAATCTTCAATGTACAGCCACCTTAAAAATGTGTTAAGCCAAGTGAAATTTATTGTGTAATCAAGTTAATGCAATATAAAGAGAAGTCTGCATTTTTATAAATATCTCCTACAGATAAAACTTGCTATTTTTTAAATAATGAATGAATGTAAATTTAAACAGCTCTAACAGAAGGACATATAATAATCTTAAAAACCAGCATAAAACATTCCCACACCATAGAACATATACAGAATCCCGGCACCTATTCCCTACTTAAAATAAGTTCTGAGTTACAGATGAATTGCCCAAAGCCATGCAATCACTTCAATTTTTGTAATTTTTATTGAGATCACTATCAGCCTTTGCTGTTCAGCACTGTTATATGTGGTACATACATATACATGGAGCCTAACTCCAAAAAACCCAGCACATAATAGCTGGTTCCTTGATACAAATACAAGACAAAATTCAGAGTTGGCAAATAATAAGTCCCAAAACCTTTTTAGTTTTCTTTCTGAATTTGGTTCATCAATCTCATGAAGGTGAACTTGCAACCCTTTCAGAATTTAGGAGCTGGAGAGAAATACACCAGCTATAAAGACTACGAGTATTAAAGGTGAATTGCACCCAAAAATATTTAAGAGGAGTTAGGGGAATGGCAGAGGCGTGACAGCAAACGTTAACTGTCTCCTAGGATTTATTTTCTTTTCCATTAATACACAGCCTTGAAAATGTATTGACTAATTACAAATATCTCTTAAAATGTGTCATGTTATTTATACCTTTTCTGTTGTTCCATCATTCATAACCTGAGCAGGAAAAAAGCAATGATTTTATTTCAAAAGGTACTAATTTCATGAAAACGCCTCCTAAAACTAATATCTCTCTTATTAAAACTTTGTGTAATAAACTGCACCATTACAGGTATTTAATAATTTTCCTTCCTTCCTCTAACACTTTTTATTAGAAACGATATAAAACTCTGCTTGTTGCAAGACAATAATAGTAATAATGGCAGTACATAAAAATATACAAGCATAAATGTGCCAAAACTTTAATCTGCATTTCTCCTCCATTGCTAACACTTTGCACTGCTGATGGACTTCTTTAGCAAACTTTGCACTAAAACTTTTTCCTTTCGCCTCTACTGGACAGAAAATGTCTGGTCTGATACTTCCTGTTTGTTTTGTGGCACAATAACCGTTTCAAGACCTCACAACAGCCAAGCGGGGAAGAGGCACTTTCGGATTCTCTTGCTGCCCAGCACTGGGGTGAGCCAGCTCCTGCCTTAGCCCTTCCCCAACCTACCCCCATCTTTCCCTCACTTTTACCTATTGCCTTTTGTGCCTGCTGGTTTATGGCTCCCATGAGAGTTTTATGCTGCGGGAACTTCCTCAACAGGCTCAGACTTTGCCGTGGCCCCTTGCCCACTGCAGTTACACCAGGGACCAGGGCTCCCACTGGGTACACTGGCACCAATACTGCCCTCTCCCTTCCCCAAGCAAGGCAGAAGCATTGCACAGAGAGAAGCACGCCCCTGGGGTGATAAAGCAAGGAGTCCCCTTGAGTCAGAGCAACGACAACACAGAGCTGCGGGGCGGGGGTGTCTGTTGCAATTCTTTTCTTACCCTCTCAGCTTTTTCTTGTACATAGCTTCTCCTCTCCCCGTGAGCCCCCCTTAGGTGCTGCCCTCCTTTCTGTTCCTGCAGACAGGGATCAGTGCACAGCTGATGGCAGAGCACACCCCCGGGCTCTGCTGGCGTCCCGTGGCGTAAGAGGAAAAGGGAAAAGAACTGTTTGGCTGCGGTTGCTACTACAAGCATGCCC